CATTACACACCGAGTGCTCACTAGTTTAAAAAACAAATACAAAAACATTTGACCACAGTATTGTATCCCCGATCGCAAAAATGGTTCCTTTGCCTCCATTTACTGCACACCACTGTAATAGGGCTACATAGGAAAGAAAGCAATGCCAGTACCCGTGTTTAACTGTTCACACCATCATTATGGAGAGTCGCCGTCGTGTAGCGGCTAAACGCTCACCTGTGAATCAGAAGGTCGTGGGTTCGAATCCCGAGAGAACCGGACTCTTTTCAAAAATTACCTTGGCTACCAGGTCGACCTAACCTTGGTTGGGTACCAGGTACAGTCCTGGGAAGTAAAGACGGTCGGCGTGATGCTGACCACATCAGCCTCCAAGTTCTTATAATATAGGCCTAGCCCTATATGCCCAGTACACACTAAGGCGTAGAACAAAGTCGTTTTCTTTATCTTACTATCATTATGCTCCTGTTTAGGTCGGAATGTCGCCATATCGCAGAATACATTCCAGTCGAGCACATATACGGATAGTACTTATGAGGAGCGTTATTCCCTGTCGAGCAACGCTGTAGATGGAAATCCAAGCGGAAATTTTGGAGACCTCACCTGTGCTCACACAAAGACTGAATTAAAGCCATCCTGGGATTTGACTTTGGAAACATCAAAACTAGTCCACAGATATGTGGTTTACAATAGAGGTAAGTTTTGTTGTTGTTACCAGAACAAAAACATTTTAATTGATCTTGACTTAGGGTTGCCATATGCCATCATTTTTTACAGACACATTCTCTTTTTCAGGAGTAAATTTGATCATCCAGAAACAGCTTAGGATGTTAGTAGTAATGACCGTAATTTACAAGTCAAGACACAAATTAACACTATGTGTCTATATCGAAAACTGCAGGAGTAGTGCAAAATACTCTGAATTCGCAAAGACAACACAGTTTCTTCTTGCTATTCCAGCACACAATGCTTTGATAGAAAGACATACCCAAAATGAACCATTGAGAGAAATCGGCATAGTATGGATTCAGTCTAGTATGGATTAAGTCAAGTCAATTTCACATGTAAAATTCACTTCCAAGCACTTCACATGGGGGAAATTGTATGGACGTTTGATGCAAAAGAAAATACATCAAAAATATTAACATATAATACAATTTACCTGGAATATAATGGTCAGAAAAGCGTGCTCATTTCAGAGGACTAAAATATTTTCTTCTTTTTCTTCTTTCGTTCGCTTGAAATATATATCTCTCTAGTATAAATTTCACTGTAATTTATTCCGTTTACAATGTAATGGTATTTTACGTTTTTTACACAAGATGGTGTGTGTTGAATACATGTATTATTTTATTGTTCTTCTTGTTGTAGTGTAAAAAATAAGGGACCCTTTCCCACGCCTTTCGTGCGTATTGGGTATACAGGGCTAGACCTCTATTTTATAGACCAACGGCACAAGATGGGTGAAGTGGTCAGCATCACACCGGCCGCCTTTCCTTCCCGGGACTGCACCCTGTACCCACTCAATGCTGGGTCGACCTGACAGCTGAGGTCCTTTTTGAAAAAAAAAAATAAAATCAGGCTACGCCAGGAAGCGAACCCATGACCTTCCGATCCGCAGGCAAGCGTAGTGTAATTTCTGATATTAGACACCACAGATCCTATTCTACCGACAATCGGCATAATTAGATTGATGTTCGCTCTTTTGTCCGCTTAAAAAGAGACATAAGTGTATCTGCATCATTATAGCTTTGAAAGTGGGGCGTCCGCATCGGGTAAGAGGATAATGGGTTCTGGTCTTGAATTAGTAATATAAGGAATTTCGTTATAGGCTTTATAGTTTCACCTAAATGTTTAATTCCTTTATGAACACACACACACATCCATATGTGTGTATGTATGTATATATATTTCCCCTTTGACCTGTTGTGCCATAATCTGCCACATGGGGCTCACAATCTACTCCTCCATTGCGTTCTACCCTGTGCAATTTCTTTGATACCATGGATGGAATCCAGTCTAGCAGCTTTGGCCTCTCTTATCAACGTTCTTTTGTTGCTTTTTTGTTTTGGAAGTCCACACTTTCCCAGTCCATTTATTTCCCAGTGTAGTCCTGTCTGGTTATACTCCTTGGTGATACCAGCCAGAGGCCACTACAAATAAACTAAGAGACTTAGAATCACACAAAAAAAGACATAAAGAAATCCAGTCACTCCTGAATAGTAAATTCATTAGCAAGGTAACTACAAAATTGCTCGATCCACCTGGCTCACAGATTTCTCAAATGTATGGGCTCTCTAAGTTACATAAGTCCGGAATACCTATGAAGCCGATCTTGTCAATGATACACTCTGCTTAACATTAAATGGCGAAATAGTTAGCCGAAATACCTAGACCAGTAAAGCAGAACATTAAAGATACGCTTGAACTTACTGAACTGTTTGACTCAAGACCTAAAACATCAACACATAGCATCTATGGACATATCGTTGTTGTTCACCAA